TCTAAGTTATAACATGTATTATTTGTTCTTTCTTGTTTCACTTGTTATGTCCCTTTACTAACCATGCTTCAGTAGCCGTGTTGCATTTAAAAATGAATAATGTTTCGGTGTCTGGTTTCATTTAAGTTACAGGAAGTCGCATTTCTTGTTCTCTACGCACAGAATTTAATATTTTGGAGCCTTTTGTCATTTGAGAATTCAATGTTTTGTCGAGACGATTTAGGCCTATCCTTTTAAAATGTTAACTAAAAGTTATATCAAAATAATTTATCGCCCTAAATAGATAATTTCTTTATGGCGCAAGACAGAGTATTCTTACTATTCTAGACACCTGATAACACTTTTCACTATGAAATAATTACTCACTTATGAATGATGTACTTCCTCGCGTGATATGTTGTTTTGGGATTTCGGGTTTCGTTGTTCTGTTTGGAACGTTAGGACGTATGTATTACTTCCTTCCTTTACGATAGTCTGAGTTACATGTTAGTGACTGGTCTAATATTCTCAAATCTAAGTCATCTTCTAGGGTGACTAAATGACACATTTAGCAAACATTATTCAGATTAATTATCCGAGATACGGCGAACGTTTTAAAATAATTGCCATAACTTACGCTTACATATGATCATTCATGATGACACAACCAAAGAGCAGTAAATTGTATGGTATATCGATTTCAACAACGAAGTTTGAATAAATAAGATAGCTTGCCAGGCAAGGTAATATACGCCCACTGGCAGCTTTGATTCTGAATAAAAATATTTAGCAGTACAGTAACAATCACCAGTATGAAATATTCAACCTTCAGTCATACACTTCATACACCCATGCCAAGTTTCGTTTTCAAGAACAAGGGCAATAACTTATACTAAATATTTTTCGATTCTTCTAATTTTCAATAGGGTTGATCCTTGGGTGATAACGAACACTCTTTAAACCAAGTTTTGTCAAAATCCGTCAAGAATTGTGTCTTGTAGAGTGTTTACGAGCAATTGTGGACGGACGGACTGACATAGGTGACGGCAATATACGCCCCCCATTTCATGTAGGAGCGTATAAAAAGAAAATATGTATATTTTATAGTTTTATTTACAGTATACACGTATAAAGATAAAGAAAAATTGCAATTGAATTGAGCAAGGATGAATAGAATAAATATTGAATTGTAATAAATGATTAGTCCAGGACATTAACTACCAATGGAGTTGTGTATTGACTATGACGAACACCAAATGAGTACTCCGGATTCTTCTTCTTATGAGTCCACGTATTTTGAGGAGAGTGAGCTCCTGGTCCTGGTTTCTTAGTTGTATCACCAGGCATGTTGTTTCGACTGGTCATACTGTATAATGGTGCCTTTGATTTGGTGTTGTTTGGATCGGCTGTGTTGTAGGTTCCTGGTCCAGGTGCTTTGGCAAGATCTTCAGAGAAAGCACCGGTCTTCTGTCTTCCACGTAATGAAAAACATGGAGCTTGTTTCTTACCACTTAAAACGGTGGTTCCGGTCATACCTGGTAGAGTGTAGTTATTTGCTGCTGGAGTATTGTCATTTTTCCTGTATCTTGGTCGGCTACCAAAACTGTAAGCTGGGTGGTGATATTTAGACGAGGGTCCGGAGTTTTCTGGTCTGTAAGCTCCTGCCCCAGGAGTTTTAAAGGTAGAAGCTCCCTGGTTTCTACTGTAGAGAGAATAATGTGGAGTTCCATCCTTTCCACTTCTCGATATTTTTGAATCGGGTAGATAACAAGGTCCTGGACTGCAATCGTCGACGAATTTCCCATGCTTAACCCCAAAAGAGTAGGCTGGTTGTTTATTATGACCGCTTCTGGGATCGTGACTGGTTCCTCCTGTAAGAGATGGTAGACTGTAGCACGGTCCTGGAGGTGTATACATAGCAGCAATTGGTACCCGTGGTTTTGTTTCTGTATAAGCCATTTTGAAACAAATGAATTACTGTTTAATACAGTGGTTACTGTAGATGAGTTAAATAAGACAGGAATGTCATACATTTCGAATGTTAGTGATATTTATATGTACATGTATACCTG